CATCTGGTCACCCTATCCATGGCACAGATGGATGCTTTTCTCCTAGAGGCCTAGAACAACTGTTCTCTCTTTCACTCAGGACTCTTCGGCAAGTTCATATCTTCCAATGCCTCCAAAGCCTGAAATAATATTAACACCATTACTAACGCTGTTCTGATGTCTCAGGCCTCTCCTCCCACACATCCAAGCCAATTTTAAAATTAAAATATTAAAATATTTTATATATAGCACTTTCTGTTGTCCTCCTGGGGAGGAACCTTGGACTGAGCAGCTTTAGGGTAGAGAAATGCAGAGATGGTGGAAAATGATTGCTAAGAGAATAAAAGTTGCAAATTTTCCCTTGCTGTGACCCTGAAAGTTAAAGGGGAGAATTTTTTCACTTTTAACTCAGACAGAAAAACATCACAAATTCATCACTTTTCGTCTGCCTGGTGAAGATGAGGCACCAACCTAGGATTTTCTGACAGGCAGCACTAGAGTCCAGAACCTCTGAAACAGAAGGACGAGGCCAAGGAATGACCTGTTGATTGAAAATGCACATGGACTTTAGAAGGAAGTCAGGCTGCCTCTTCAGTCTGCAGAGGGAGATGCTGGAGCCAGCCAGCCAGGCAGAAGGCTGCAGCTTAGAGTTTGCTAGAAAGGACGGTTACAAACTACATTGACAATGACTGCCAGCAGCAGCAGAAGGAGCACTAGCACCAAAGGGACCTGCTAGAGCATATCCTGCTCAAAATACTCCCCCTTATTCGTACATATGCTGTGCAGAGTACAGATTGCTCTAGTAAAATGAATGGCATTATACATACTGCTGTACGAACAGTTTTGTGGGCAGCACTATTTGGTCGTCAGTCAGCCAAATCCATGTTCCGCAGCTGTCCTACACTTGCTCAGTGTGTAATTAAACCTCCTTCTACCAGGTGCCCCCAGGGTAGGGCTTCAAAAGCCAGCACAGTAGAGGGTAGGCTGGTTTCCCCAAAATAACAGTGAACACAGATACCCTGTCAATATCCATATCATTGGATGGGAATAAAGTCCCACCTTACCCAAATTCAAAAGGGCCAGATCTACAGAAAACCCTGGCATTATTCGCTCTGCCCATTCATCCTACAAAGTTGGCCTGTGGTCTACCAAAGCTTGCAGAATGCTAGAGTAGTATCGTTTCTGGTTTACACAGTCACGTGCAGCTTGGGGAGGAGGGGCATACAATGGCCATGTATGCCATCAACAGTGTAACAGATATTGCAATCAGATGCACTATTTTCAGGGGTCTATTATATTGTTATATAGATTATCGTGGGCTAGAGATTGTATTCTACTCAAGTGGGGGGAGAAGGGGAAGGGTTACCACTGCCCCTCCAGGAACTAAAAACAGCATGCAGTCCTGCAACTGTGACTAGCTCCAGAAAAGTACCACCGTCTGGGGTGATACGCATTTAGTGGTTCAAGTTGGGTTTCAAGAGAGGCATGACACAAAGAATTCGGGGTATAAAGGGCCAGCTTGAACTGACAGAGGGGGTTTCTTTCTGATTCAACAAATTGACATGACCTTTTGTCCAAGCAGGGCCCCCACCCTGCTAAATGACTGGAAAGACTGGAACCTGCCAGGGTCTCAACAGGACGGATGAGAGTCTACTGTTAAAGCACTTAGATTCTGTAATTGGTTTATATATTTTTTCTGTATGCTTTTACCCACAAATAGAGGTGCTCTGCTTTGAAAAAGCTGTTTGATTCCTTGTAAATCACTGTCACTGTCCTTGGAAAGAAAGCAAAGAATGAAAGCTGGACATTAGAACTGCTTGGGACAATCACAGTGGCTGGCAGGGGAGCTGTAGCCTGAACTCCCTGGTCAGGAGGGAAAGTGGGACATAGGTCTCTATCCATAGAGATGTGACAGCTAGAGGCCCGAGACCTGAATTGGCATTCCTGGAACAGACCATAGGGGTGTGCGTGTCACAGGTGCAGTTTCGTTGAAACTGTGACAGATGGTACCAGCACAGTTTAAAAAGACCATTTGCTCAAAGCCCTCCATTATTTCATAGACATTTCCAATCTTTACTACTTATGGGTGAACAAAAGCTATTGCCTTGCAAACCTCCATCACCACAGCACCAACCGTTGACGTCCCAATGTCAAACCGATCATACTACCACCTAGCTGAAACCATCCCGATGTGTAGAAAGAATAGTAAATAAGGCAGGCGACCAGCTTGGCTTAACAGTGAAATCCTTGCTGATCTTAAATACAAAAAAGAAGCTTACAAGAAGTGGAAGATTGGACAAATGACCAGGGATGAGTATAAAAATATTGCTCGGGCATGCAGGAGTGAAATCAGGAAGGCCAAATCACACCTGGAGTTGCAGCTAGCAAGAGATGTTAAGAGTAACAAGAAGGGTTTCTTCAGGTATGTTAGCAACAAGAAGAAAGTCAAGGAAAGCGTGGGCCCCTTACTGAATGAGGCAGGCAACCTAGTGACAGAGAATGTGGAAAAAGCTAATGTACTCAATGCTTTTTTTGCCTCTGTCTTCACGAACAAGGTCAGCTCCCATACTACTGCACTGGGCAGCACAGCATGGGGAGGAGGTGACCAGTCCTCTGTGGAGAAAGAAGTGGTTCGGGACTATTTAGAAAAGCTGGACATGCACAAGTCCATGGGGCCGGATGCGTTGCATCCGAGAGTGCTAAAGGAGTTGGCGGATGTGACTGCAGAGCCATTGGCCATTATCTTTGAAAACTCATGGCAATCGGGGGAAGTCCCGGACGACTGGAAAAAGGCTAATGTAGTGCCCATCTTTAAAAAAGGGAAGAAGGAGGATCCTGGGAACTACAGGCCAGTCAGCCTCACCTCAGTCCCTGGAAAAATCATGGAGCAGGTCCTCAAGGAATCAATTCTGAAGCACTTAGAGGAGAGGAAAGTGATCAGGAACAGTCAGCATGGATTCACCAAGGGCAAGTCATGCCTGACTAATTGCCTTCTATGACGAGATAACTGGTTCTGTGGATGAAGGGACAGCAGTGGACGTGTTGTTCCTTGACTTTAGCAAAGCTTTTGGCACTGTCTCCCACAGTATTCTTGCCAGCAAGTTAAAGAGATATGGGCTGGATGAATGGACTATAAGGTGGGTAGAAAGCTGGCTAGATTATCGGTCTCAACGGGTAGTGATCAATGGCTCCATGTCTAGTTGGCAGCCAGTATCAAGTGGAGTGCCCCAAGGGTCGGTCCTGGGGCCGGTTCTGTTCAATATCTTCATAAATGATCTGGAGGATGGTGTGGATTGCACTCTCAGCAAGTTTGCAGATGACACTAAACTGGGAGGAGAGGTAGATACATTGGAGGGTAGGGATAGGATACAGAGGGACCTAGACAAATTGGAGGATTGGACCAAAAGAAATCTGATGAGGTTCAACAAGGACAAGTGCAGAGTCCTGCACTTAGGATGGAAGAATCCAATGCACCGCTACAGACTAGGGACCGAATGGCTAGGCAGTAGTTCTGCGGAAAAGGACCTAGGGGTTACAGTGGATGAGAAGCTGGATATGAGTCAACAGTGTGCCCTTGTTGCCAAGAAGGCCAATGGCATTTTGGGATGTATAAGTAGGGGCATTCCCAGCAGATCGAGGGACATGATCGTTCCCCTCTATTCGACACTGGTGAGGCCTCATCTGGAGTACTGTGTCCAGTTTTGGGCCCCACACTACAAGAAGGATGTGGAAAAATTGGAAAGAGGCCAGCGGAGGACAACAAAAATGATTAGGGGACTGGAACACATGAGTTATGAAGAGAGCCTGTGGGAACTGGGGATGTTTAGTCTACAGAAGAGAAAAATGAGGGGGGATTTGATAGCTGCTTTCAACTACCTGAAGGGGGGTTCCAAAGAGGATGGCTCTAGACTGTTCTCAGTGGTAGCAGATGACAGAACAAGGAGTAATGGTCTCAGGTTGCAGTGGGGGAGATTTAGGTTGGATATTAGGAAAAACTTTTTCACTAGGAGGGTGGTGAAACACTGGAATGCATTACCTAGGGAGGTGGTGGAATCTCCTTCCTTAGAAGTTTTTAAGGTCGGGCTTGATAAAGCCCTGGCTGGGATGATTTAATTGGGGATCGGTCCTGCTTTGAGCAGAGGGTTGGACTAGATGACCTCCTGAGGTCCCTTCCAAGCCTGATATTCTATGATTCAATGATAGGCAGATTAATGACTGGTGCGGGGAGAGAGAGGGTTGTTCTTCAGGAAACCTGGCAGATTGGAGTTTCTGCTGCATAAAAAGTCTCCTGCATCATTACCCAAGAGTGACTACAAATCAGGACAACATCAACAGGATGTTGAACGAGGATGCAGCAGCACAGCATCACCATAGATACACCATTGCAACATCCACACCTCCAACCCTGGCAACCAGACACTGGACCTGTACTTCTGAGAAATTTTGCAAGTGCTCTGAACGTAAAACTGCCACAGGCCATGTAGTCAATTTTTATCTTAGGTCAGTGTCATTTTTTTTTAAAGTTTTGACTGCTTCTGAAAATGATATAATGCTAGTGCCAGTTTGAGTAAAACACTGCTATCTACGCACTGTGCAACTAAGCTTGTTCCATCCATTTCTACATTTGTTTAGCTTGTATTAATACACTATTCCCTGTGTTGCACACATGCAGCAGTGTGCGCTGCAGTCAATCACTGCTTGCATGTGTAAAAATTTTCCTCCGCGGGGAATCCATTTTGGATAACATGGTGGCAGGAGAGGTGGGGTGGGGGTGAAATGGTGATTCTTCCACCCTTAGGTGAAGCTACAACTGGCATGAAAAGCTCACTCTCCAGAAAAAACATCCCCCACTACAGTAATAGAGCTTGTTCATAAACAAGCAATGATGGTTCCCTTATGTTGTCATATATGCCTAACCATAACAACAATGGTGAATCACTCCCTTACCAGGCTGAGGTGATGCTGGTTTCTCTGCTGTATCCTCCCCAGTCTGTTCCTCCATCTCCTCTCTAAATAGGTCCAGGAAGTCCTGGATGAGGCCAGCAGTGTCCAGAAGTACCTAACATTTCTATCTCAGCTCAAATTGCTGTAGTTAATGCTGCTCTGGCTCCAGCTCCTTCTCCGAGTCCTTGGTTGCCCATGCACATGGCTTGAAGTGTCCTTGGGTGTATCTGAGCTCCAAATTTAGGGTGTTGCTGAGCATCCAGTTCAGATCCTCTTAGAATCAGGGCCATTCTAGGAGAGTTACTGGACTAGGAGTTTTGGTCCTTTGCCTGGCAATACAGGTTCTTCAGGGGTTTTAGCTTCATTGAGTTCTAGTCTGGTGGATCCCTTCCTCAGCTAGGTTATTGAAGATAGCATCCTACAACTTTTAATTTGTGGTCCTGGACCCTAAATCATATAGCTTGCTGGACTCATACCATATATTTATAAGCACTTTGGTGTTAACCTCAGGCCAGTGAGACACACACTAGGAGTTTGCTGTCCTGGATGTCATCTGATCAGAACAAGTGCAGTAGCAGTGCTATACAAATATTACAGGTACAGAGAGCCGCCTGCTAAGGTGGGGTCCAAATGCTGAAGCAGGCTATTTATACTGGCTGGGGATAACTCAGTCCAGAACAAGGGAGCAAGTAGATAGACACAACAAAGGCCGCAGAGGGAATTTTGGGAAGGCATTGGAGGACTGTTAGTACTCAAGTGAACTCTTGAGGCATTCACACAGCAGCTCAAGCATCAGCAGCACCCACGCTTCATTTTATATCCCCTACAGGAAATCTAGGTTGACTTTAAAGAACCATCAGTTTGAGATTTTTGTATGTGGATGGGAGTCAGATCAGAAACAAAAGTTGAATTATAACTTGAATTAACTTTGCAGTGAAGCCATGCTCTCAGAACAGAAGACGATGTATCCATACTGTCACATAATCTGCATAGGAAAAAGTGGTGACTCCAAGTAGGTATATTTTCACTGGTTTACCCTCACTTTCTGTATCATATTTAAAATTCTTGTCCCTGCCTGTGAAGCCCTAAAGAGTTTAGTTCCTGCCTATCTCTCCACGCATTTCTTGTCACTCCCCACTCAGCTCTTCCCCCATCACTTTTAGCTCCAGCTGGACCTTACAACCATCTCCTTTGTCACCTTTCACTCCCACCTAACCTGGTGCATTTCATCTCCACTTCAAATTCCTCCCCAAAATAGGCTTCTTCCAAGAGTATTGACTTTGCTGGATGTGCTCCCTTCCCAGAGAGTTTCTTTAAATGATTTTAAAAAACCCAACTCTGTGGAGTTAACAAGACACTTGTTAGACCATGTTTGATGAAATGTATAATAAATTATTAATAGTCTGTGTCCATATGGGACTGACACCCATCTTTAAATGGTCACTTTTTCTGAGGTTTGGTGGGTGATGATGTTTACTTAGCAGGAGTAGCCAAACAGCACTCTGATGACTGGACGTATAGAAGTGCTAACAAGCATGCTTTATTCCAGCTGAGGTCAGCATTATCACTAAATGTGGTATGTGACGTATGCTATCTTTTCTGGGAAAATTGCACACCATTTTGCAAACCATCCCAATACCAATATGGACATTGTGTGAATCAGGTGATCTGTCCTTTTTCAGGGATGACATTATATGATGGAGCCAAAAGTTGGCACTGAAGTTGCTGTCATAAACATTATTCCACTGGCTGGAAGTTAAAGCCAGACAAATTCAAATTAGAAATAAGGCAGTTTTTTAACAGTGAGGATGACTGACCATTGGAACAAACAACCCAGGGAAATGATGGAAACTCCATCTATTAATGTCTCTAAGACTGGATGCCTCTATGGAAGCTATGCTTGGGCTCAATACAAAGGTAAGTGGATGAAATTCTGTGCCCTGTGTTATACAAGAGGTCAAACTAGATGATCTAATGGTCCCTTCCTTAAAATCTATGAATCACCAGATTTTGGTGTTCCCTAATATAAAAATGTAGGTACGTCTGTTCAGATGGATGCTGTTTTTCTACCACAGGGCTCTGTGTTGGTTTCCATCACCCCAATATCTGAGCATGTGTTTGTTTGAATGGTAATGAGATTGCATCAACATCAACAGAAAGTCATTCACTATGACCTTGCTCTTATTTGCCCTTCTTTAGTGAGATGAACTGTATAAATCATTCGTCCCCATGCTAGGAAGTCACTTAAATAGCAACCTCCCACACAAAGATTAAATTGAAATGTGTAGGCACTTCTCAAATATGAATGTCTACATACATTTGCATACATTTATTCATATATATGCCCATTACAGAAATGTTTGCAGATTTTTTCACTGTGTGGGAGGTTGGCATTTCATGAACTAATTTCATAGTGCATGGAGTTTTGATAGATATAATTTGTAAGAAAATATTTTACAGCACTGCCAAATCACAGTGAATAGCAGTTTTTATTCTGAAGTTTAATTAATTGTCTTTTTTTGTGTCCATTTCTAAAGGTAGGTTGCAGGTCAGGCTCCTCTACCAGACATGGACTGGCTACAGAGCTTTCTCTGCAGAGAATTACACCAGACGGGCATTCACTTTACGATCACTAGGGCCCTGCCAATTTCACGGCCATAAAAACATGGCATGGACTGTGAAATCAGCCCTCCCCCATGAAATCTGATCTCCTCTGCTGCTGGGAGCTCCTAGCTGCTAGTCCTTCCAGGACTTGTCCTTCCCCTGCATGGCTGCTCTTGGTGGGGAGATCAGATCCATCTCCAGAGACAGCACAGAAATGAGGGTGGTACACCCTTACTTCTGCACTGTAGCAGCCCAGGAGCTGGGCTCTGGCTTTCCATCCCTGCTACCCCACAGTTCCTGGCATGACTCTGGGAGCTGAGCTCCCAGCTTCACCTTCGTCCCACAGCCAGGGCAACCTGGGCTTGAGGCTTCTGCACCTCCCCCTGTCGGAGCAGCTTGGGGCTTCCGCCCCCCCAGTCGGGGCTCAGGGCAGTCTGGGCTCGAGGCTGCCCGGGCTCAAGGCTTCAGCCCCGCGGCTGCAGGTGGAACTCAGGGCACCCAGGCTCGGAGCTTCTTCCCCCAGGGCTCCTGTCGGGGCTTGGGGTGACCCAGTTGGGGCTTCTAACCTAGGGCTTCTTCTAGGGCTGGGGCATCCATTTTTCCAGGTTGCCCCCAGATTGTCCAGGGGCCCCTTCCTTAATCTGTCACTGGCTTGGACTAGCAACTAGGAGCCCCCGGCTGGGGCACTCCTAGCAGCATGGGGAGATCCTACCCACCTCCATGTCCCGGAACCTCCTCTAACTGCAGGAAGCTCGGAAGCTGCTGCCTAGACAGCACAGAAGTGAGGGTGTTAATATTGGGACCCCGCCACAACAACTTTGCAACCCCCCTAGATCCCATTTTGGGTCGGGATTCCCATGGTTACACTGTGAAATTTCAGGTATAAAAATCTGAAATTGTGAAATTGACCAATTTAAAAGCCCCTGGACATGAAATTGACAAGAATGGACTGTGGATTTGGTAGGGCCCTAAGGATCATTTAATGTTCTGCCAAGGTTTATCTGTGGTGTGCTCAGATAAGGTATGTTGCTATAGTACAGTTTCGCATTCTGTTACAACCACAGCCCACACAGTTGACTTTCCAACACCAAACTGGTTAGCAATGGACCTGTAGCAGTTTGGGGTAGCCAACTTCCAGGTGGCTAGAGTAACTCACTTCTGACCAGCGTGGCTTCCCTCAGGTGTGTGCCTGATGCTGGAGGATGAGGCCAAGCTGCTCAGAGAGCTCCAGAAATGTATCTGTGCGAGTTTTTTCATGAAGTTGATAGATTTCCACTTCATATGGCTAAATTCAGTGTCTTGCATGGTACCAAGTATCAGAGGGGTAGCTGTGTTAGTCTGTATCCACAAAAACAATGAGGAGTCTGGTGGCACCTTAAAGACTATCAGATTTATTTGGGCATAAGCTTTTGTGGGTAAAAGAAGTGGGGGTTTTACCCATGAAAGCTTATGCCCAAATAAATCTGTTAGTCTTTCAGGTTACACCAGACTCCTCGTTGTTTTAGTGAATACAGACTAACACGGCTACCTCCTGATACCAGAAATGTAGTTTACCTCATGAGAAAGTTCTGGAGCCAGTGCTGGTCATCCCAAGCCTCCATTATGATGATGGTGTCCCATCAGTCTGTGCTTGTGGCCTTTTTCCAGAAGCACCTGTCTATACAGGGTGTATCGGCGGCTATACCACGCCGCATCATACAGTTCAAGTCTTCCATGTCTGTATTGCCATCCTTCTCCGACAGGCATCTTCATTAGATCAGAAAACACTATCAAAGTGTCCACCAACATCTCATGGATAATCTGTTTCCTGACACAGGAATGAAAATGCAAGCAGGACAAGTTCTTTAAATGATGACTTCCGTGTTGCAGGCTCTGTTTGCCAGGAGCATGCAGACCCGAAAGGCGGATGTGTTAGTGGGCTGCAATAACTTCCTGTAAATTGCCGTGGGTTGGACAGTCAAGTTTTCCCACAGTGTACCACAAACAAAGGGCTAGAGTGGCTACAACTGGGGGGGAGTGCTAGGAAGCCTGAGATAGGCTGGTTTGATTCAGATCTGTGTAGAACAGTGTGGATGCATGAGATCAGGTGTGAGAACTGGGTCCAGAAATTCTAAACCTAGGCTCAGTATTCAACGTAGATGCTCAAACCCAGGTTTACAAACACCAACCCTGCGGGCTCGAGTCCCACAGACCTGGGCTTACATTGTAGTGTAGACCTAGCCTCAGGGTATGTCTACACTTCAAGCTGGGGGATTTAGTTCCCACCCAAGGAGACATACCCATTGCTTTATTGAAAATAGTGTCACCAAGGCAGCGTGAGCAGTGGGAGGGTCCAGCTGCCCTGACTGCATACCTGGTGTCTCAGATGGAATTGTACTCACGGAGGCTAGTCCCGCTTGCCCCTTGGTCTGGTCAGGCTACACTCTGTTTTTAGAACGTTAGCAGGGATATGTCTCCTCAAGCTGGGAATTACATCCCCAGCTCAGAGTGTGGCATCTCCTTAGAGACTATGTCTACACTAGAGAGCTTACAGAGGTGCAGCTGCTCCGCTGTAAGCTCTCTAGTGTAGTCGCTCTAAGCCAACGGGAGAGAGCTCTCCTGTCAACTTAATTAATCCATCCCCAACAAGTGGCAGTAACTATGTCAGCAAGAGAAACTTTCCCACCGACATAGCGCTGTCCACACTGGTACTTATGTTGGTGGAATTTATGTCACTTAGGGAGGTGGTTTATTCAGACCCCTGAGTGACAAAAGTTATACTGACATAATTGTTGGTATAGACATAGCCTAAGTCAGTCCAACTTCACAGGAGCCCTGTTCCTGTTTAAATGCCTCAATGAGAGGGATTCCGCCATTTCCAGGAAAACATGAGAGCAGAGGGATACAGTCAATAGAACCACAAGGACTTTCTTAATATAAAAAATGTACAAAACAGACCTAACACAGCAGCAACCTGCTCCTGCACCTAATGAATTATATTGCAAAATTTCCATTAATTTTAATGGGAGCAAGATTGAGTCCCAGGTGGATAAAGGAATCTTTTTACTATTAAAAATGTTTGATTAAAGTTTAAGTAGTTTCTTTGCATATTTATCATTTGCAATAATAATGCCTTTACACTGACTTTTACAGTAATTGGAAAACAAAATTAGTTTGAAAGGCTCTCAGATGTGGAATTACATTTTCAGACTACCTTCTGCTGTTCCGCTTCCTCACTGGGGGGATGATCTATATGCATAAGTAAGTCCTTTGCTTAGTTCTGTCTTCAAAATTCACACCCAAATAGGTCCCCTTTACTTCGGCTTACTGATATGCAGTCCAATCCCATTTGTTCATGTACATACTGCCTTGTTGCTTTTAATTAACTTTCCCATAAATTCTAATGTAAGCAGCAGTGTCTAGTTACTATGGCCCATATATCCTGGCTTCTGACTACATTTACAGTCAAAAACCAGGGAACTGCATTCTACAAGTGTTGTGTAGCTCCTCCCCAGACTTACACAGTTCACACTCCCTGTGTCCTCCCATGTACTGAACTGCTGAAATGCATTCCTGGGCAAGGGTTGGGACTAAGGGAAATGATCAATACATGATAGTGTAATCAACCTGTGACCCCCACGCACCTTCTGTTACTTGGGTTGCCACTGTGTGGGGGCTGAATTGGCATTAACTACAATAATCAAAAACAGTTTTCAGAGAAATCTGAAAACAGGCTCTATTTTCCTTGACCTCAATGCAGTATATGATATGGTGTGGCACACGGATCTACTTATTAAAATATCAAGAGTCCTTCCACCATGGGTTACTGCTACTCTGAGATGGACAGTTCAGGGTACACATGGGTGAGAAAACAAAGTGCTTGGAAAAAACAGATGAACAGGTTGCCCCAGGGTTCTGTTCTAGCCCCAACTGTGTTCAATCTATACATCAATGACCTGCCACCAACCCAGTCACAGACATTCATCTATGCAGATGACATCTGCTGTGGGCTCCAAGCTCCAACTTTCTCTGAGCTGGAGAAGAGCCCAAGTGCCGATGCTGCAAAGCTGTCTGACTACTGCAAGACATGGCGCCTTCAGTCTAGCACCAGCAAGACAGTCTCTAGCACATTCCACTTCCACCCGCTAAGAGGGTACTAAACATCATAATGAATGCCAAGAGGCTGAAGCATGAAGCATACTCCAGTTTACTTAGGTGTGACTCTCACCGAACACTGACATACAACAGCCGCCTGAGCGAGATAGCAGCAACGGTCAAGAACACTCAATAACCTTCTCAGCAGACTGGCAGGTTCTTCATGGGGAACCGATGTTCCAGCTCTAAGGACCTCAGCCCTTGCCATTTCGTACTCAGTAACAGAGTACTGTGCACCAGTATGGAGTTGGTTGGCACACACCTGATTTGTTGACGTGCAGCTCAACTTAGCAATGTGCATCATCTGACCAACTCGTCTTCCATGGCTTTCAGTTCTGAGCCACATGGCTCCCCCTTACATCAGGAGGAAGATTGCAGCTGACAAGCTTGCCCTTGTTCAACAACCATTTTAACCAACTGCATGTCTTTCATCACAACACCCACTATGGTTGAGGCTGCCATGCCAGGACGTGACAGCCGAGTCCCTTTGGCGGGAAGACTGGTGCTCAATGCCAGACACCAATCAGTTCCTCAGCACAAGACTCTACTGTTCACCCCCCGGCTTCGACCTGCCACATCATCCGTGGGCCCTTCTTGACTGATTCTGATACAAGAGGCTTTTTAGCTGTTCAATCCTGTGTGAGAAAAGCAGTACCAAGGACAGTACTCTGCCATACAACTGAAGCAGGCAGGGAGGGAGAAAAAGATAGTAAATCTGACCTGTTCCAATTAGCAGATTGGTGATGGTAACATAGTGTTTAAACATACATAAAATGTAGTTAGTTATAGATTTAAGGCTTTTAATAAGGATTAAAGAGTGATAGTTTAAAAGCAGGTTTAGTGAAAAATCCAAAATGGCGACTGCAATGATATTACCTCTGAAAAACAAAATGGTGAGCTTAACATAAATTGACCAATAGTGGACAAGGGTGACTGGGGTGAAATTAAGATCACTCCAAATACCTGAAGGGAGGTGTCAACCAAGTAAGAGACAGGTTCTCAATCAGGTCCAGCTTGATTGATAGGTAAAACTGCCTGAACAGATATGCTAATGACTGGAATTGAAAGAGCAACCAATCAGAAATAGTCAAAAACTGTATATAAGGCAGAGAGCTGACAGGCTTCAGTGTGGGTGTGCAGCAATTAGAGAAAAGAAGATCAGGCCACAGGAGGTGCGAAGAGCAGAAAAGAACAAAGAGCGGAAAAGGAGCAGACAGAGAAACTAGGTAGAAGATAACAACAAAACAGCTGAAATTACTCAGAAAGACCATAAGAAATAACAGAGGGATTTAAGAAGAGGAGTAAGTATCATTATTTTAAATATAAAGAATGTATGCATATGATTGCTAATAAAGCTGGATGCTTGTGTATGGATGAATTTTAAATCACTGTATGCATTCTGCAAGTGACTGATCACCACTTGTAGAATGTCACTACTTGGTAATGTTTAACATGTAATATTGTGATGTTATTTAAGGCCTTATACATATATATAAAAGGGGTCCATGTGTTGCATTGTAATAGAGTTAAGTGCTGTATTGTGCAACACTGTGTTCTGCTATAGAGTTTATATGGTATGTTGTACCATTTTATTGTATGATTTTTAAATGCAAATGCAACATTGTATTATGTCATATAGTTTGTAACTACTAAAAATGTAGTGTAATTTAATATTATGTTTAAATAAATGTTACTTTGTTTTCAAAGAATTACTTTTTGAGTGAAGGGCTATATTCGTGTCCTCCCATGGATTAACAGAACT